CTCAATATGTAGTTTATTTAAACACCTTTTCATGTGGCAGCGTCGCAACTTCGATGACCTTTAGTCAACATTAACCACACAACGCCACTTCCTCATTTCTTTATTTAAAGTATCTCTGGTTTACTCAATTTACCAGGGCAGAATAATAATCCTATTTGTATAATGATGGTGTCAATAAAGTTTTCCAGATCATTCATAAGAAACAGAAGTGTAATTACATTAAGACAAATAGTGAATTGATATAAATCTGCATGGAGTACATTAAATGAAGTGCTGTTGTAGACAAATAGAGATAAATGTAAACTCTGTGTCTACAATAGATCATGATTACATTCATTCATCATCCTTTTATCCAGGCAAAGTCCAGATGTTGAAGATACAATTAAGCATACAACTTACGGGCTGGTTGTCTTGGGCCTATTAGGGACAAAGTCCAGTGTCCAGCTGCACCAGGGCTAATTGTACCCTAAGTGTTTGCTAAGTTCAGGGTGATCATCATTAAATCAGAACGGGCTGCACCACAAAGTAGTTTTAACGTTGAGGTCAGTAGTTACTAAATATTAACAACCCCCCCTCAGCAGTTTTGGGGAAACCATCAGAAACACACAGAGACACAAGCAAGACCAAAAACAGGACTTTTAGGTTATTAAGCTAAAAACTCTACACGCTGTGATTTTCCTCTCAGCTCTGATCGTCGCCCTGGTTTAAACTCTGATCGTGAAGCTAAACACCCACAGCTCCAGCTCAGAGACTCAGCAGCCCAAATGGCTACAGTGATCTGCTGTTGTGTCGCCAGAAACCGGCGTTTAAAAAGCTGCGTATTTGGTTTCTCAGTGAAATGTTAAAGAATAAACGGACAGTTTCTGTAGATCATCAGTCTGTTCAGGTTAACCTGTACACATCGTTCATCGTTCAGAGCTGCTGCCATCGCGTCTCTGTTCGGTGATCGGTTCTGATCAGGTTATCATCGTGTTAAAGCGACGGTCGCATTAGTTAGTTACTACTAGTTAAGACACCACTTCAACGGTAAAATGACCGTTTAAACTAACGAGTGTAACTGAGGACTCAGTAGAGACTTTACACCCAAGGTCTTCCATGACTGGAATGTTTACTCAGAAGATGCACTGAAAACTAAAATAAATTAAATATGAGTTCGCCTTGTAGTACATATCATAAAGTAACTTTATAGGTTTAAATGAATAATATTTAGCTTGATGCTAATATGAATAGAAATTCCCATAGACATGCTGACAAATTAGCGCCATTTTCTACAACATAAACTCGCAGTTAGACCTTCACACAAATTACAATCTGTGCATAATTTAATAAGAAAGTACCTTGATGAGAAAATAAAGCTATGTTTATCAAGGCCTAAGAATTAAAGGCTGAACTATGGCAACTCTAAAGGTACAAACTTAAAGCAAACTGCTATATGACCACTAGAGGTCCCCCTGGGGCCTCTAGAACATGACTGTTCTAGACTCAACACAGAAATTTGAAGCTGCCACAGTTCTATTTGAAGCTGACCGAGAGGTGCTAAGACTGCGGCTGGGGTTCACAGTGAGTGACATGTCTAGAACTTCCAGAAAAAGGCCTAGAGTGATGTTTTTGGTGAATCAGAGTGTGATTGGTTGGTTCGTCTGTCACTTCCTAATTATGCTGGTAGTTAATGTAACACGTAAGGCCTTCAGTCCATCTCCTGAAGTTCTGGCCAATGGGAGAGCAGTTCAGCTGTATCTACTCAGGTACCACCGAGAGAACAATCCTGATTGGACAATGTTCTGTTGGGCCTTTTTTAATCCTTTTATTTCCAGCCAAAATTGAACGATGATGTCTTTTGACACCCACATCAATTCCGTTGTTAAGACAGCATTTTTCCATATCGGCCTCCGACCGTTTCTCAGCCAAGCCGATGTAGAAACGCTTGTGCATGCATTAGTGACATCACGGTCAGACTACTGCAGTGTTCTTTTTTCTGGCCTCCCTGTCAAAACCCCCACTAGGTTACAGTATGTTCAGAATGCCGCTGCTAGGATCGTCACCTTTTCTAAAATTAATGACCACATCACCCCTGTCCTGCAGGTCTTCACTGGTTGCCCATTACATTCCGTATTCACTATAAAGTTCTCCTTATAACGTATAAAGCTCTGCATGGTCTGGCTCCTCAATACCCATCCCGTACCGATCACAAAACCTAGGCCTTCTTCATGTTCCTAGATTTAAATTGGCTTCTATGGGTGGTCGATCATTTAATGTAGTGGCTCCCAAGTTATGGAATACTCTCCCCCTGGTCTATTCGGGAGGCAACCTCTCTGTCTTCATTCAAATCTCTGTTAAAGACTTGTTTTCACTGTTATCGTTGTTCCGTTTATACTTGATTGTTTACCTGTGTTGTCCTTTTGTTTAATGTGTTGTTGTTCAATGCTCTCTGATTGTAAAGTGTCCTTGAGCACTGAAGGGCGCTGTATAAATAAAAGTGATGATGATGATGATGATGATGAGGAAGAGCATTACTACAATACAATAAGTTTAAACACAACAAGCAGATGATTAAACACAGTTACGGAACTCATCAGATCCTGATGGCCCTGAGGGTTCTGCTCTGGTTCCAGGATAAAGGAGCACCAGAGCTGAAAGAACACCACAGAGAGCTCCTCTACAGCAGAGATGGAAACCTGCAGAGATACTTCAGAACAAAGTAAAAGGAAATGTTGCGCGATGAGGCCTCGGTGTTGCGACACTAACGTCTCTCCGTGTGTGTGTGTGTGTGTGTGTGTGTGTGTATCTGAGGGTGTGTCAGTGTGTGTTTCAGTGTGTGTGTGTGTGTGTGTGTGTGTTTCAGTGTATGTGTGTGTGTGTGAGTGTGTGTGTGTGTGTGTCTGTGTGTGTGTGTGTGTGCCTGCGTGTGTGTGTGTGTGTGTGTGCGAGTGTATGTTTGAGTGTATGTGTGTGTGTGTGTGTTTCAGTGTGTGTGTGTGTGAGTGTGTGTTTCAGTGTGTGTGTGTGTGAGTGTGTGTTTCAGCGTGTGTGTGTGTGTGTGTGTGTTTCAGTGTGTGTGTGTGTGTGTGTGTGTGTGTGTTTCAGTGTGTGTGTGTGTGTGTGTGTGTGTGTGTTTCAGTGTGTGTGTGTGTGTGTTTCAGTGTGTGTGTGTGTCTGTGTGTGTTTCAGTGTGTGTGTGTGTGTGTGTGTGTTTCAGTGTGTGTGTGTGTCTGTGTGTTTCAGTGTATGTGTGTGTGTGTGTGTGTGTGTGTGTGTGTGTGCGTGTGTGTGAGTGTGTGTGTGTGTGTGAGTGTGTGTTTCAGTGTGTTTGTGTGTGTGTGTGTGTGTGAGTGTGTGAGTGTGTGTGTGTGTGAGTGTGTGTTTCAGTGTGTGTGTGTGTGTGTGTGTGTGTGTTTCAGTGTGTGTGTGTGTGTGTAGTGTGTGTGTGTGTGTGTGTTTCAGTGTATGTGTTTCAGTGTGTGTGTGTGTGTGTGTTTCAGTGTATGTGTGTGTGTGTGTGTGTTTCAGTGTGTGTGTGTAGTGTGAGTGTGTGTGTGTGTGTAGTGTGAGTGTGTGTGTGTAGTGTGAGTGTGTGTGTGTGTGTAGTGTGAGTGTGTAGTGTGAGTGTGTGTGTGTGTGTGTGTGTGTGTGTGTGTGTGAGTGTGTGTGTGTGTAGTGTGAGTGTGTGTGTGTGTGTGTGTGTGTGTGTGTGTAGTGTGAGTGTGTGTGTGTGTGTGTGTGTGTGTGTGTGTGTGTGTGTGTGTGTGTGTGTGTGTGTGAGTGTGTGTGTGTGTGTGTGTGTGTGTGAGAGTGTGTGTTGTAAGTGCTGAGGTATGATCACAGTTCCCTCTGTGCAGAACATCCACCCTTCCTGTACCGCCTGCTTCAGCTCGAATGTGTGAGAACCTCAAAAAGAACACAGTTGTGTAGAAACATCTCTGCAGTGTGTGAGAGCTCCAGCCTAACACAGTCAGACATGATAAAGGTCTGAATTTAGACTTTAATACAGTTTCATATTAAACATCAAACACCAACATTTGATTAAAATAATGGGATAAATAATAAAACAGCCTGTCTTTTATCTGAGGGGCGTGGCCTAGTATTCTAATGAGCAGTGACTGACAGCCCTCAGTCCTGCCTGCTGTAGCACTGATGGAGAACCAAACACAGAACAGTGTGAGTGAAGAGGAGGAATGAGTGAAACGGTTCTACACATAGTGTCCATTCACTAAACACATCATCCAGGTTTATATGGAGAACCTTAAAGAAGGTTCTTATTCACTTTACTGCTAAATCTTTACACCAAGAACCTTAAAGAAGATTCTTATGGGATTGGGGATTGGGATTAGACCTTGGGGTTTAGGATTAAGAGTTTGAGAATTAGATTTAAAGGCTGTAGGATTAGGCTTTACAGGTTAAGATTAGGACTAAGGATTTAGAAATTAGGATTACAGGGTTTGGTATTAGGCTTTAGGGATTAGGGACTGGGATTAAGAGTTGGGGCATTTGATTTAAAGGCTGTAGGATTAGGCTTTATAGGTTAAGATTAGGACTAAGGAGTTAGAGATTAAATTTAAGGGGGTTGGTATTAGGCTTTAGGGATTAGGGATTGGGATTAAGAGTTGGGGCATTTGATTTAAAGGCTGTAGGATTAGGTTTTATAGGTTAAGATTAGGACTAAGGAGTTAGAGATTTAGATTTTTTTTTAGGTTTTAGAGATTAGGATTAAGGGATTATTTTTTAGGAGTTAGGGATTGAAACATGGGCAGAACCCTTGGAGAGTAATATGTCTCATAAAGCCGTAGAAGTAATTAAATTAATGTAGTTAATTAACCTCAGAGTTAATCTCTGATTGTTTGTTGCGTGTGGTCTGATCAAAGACTTTTAATAATATGTGATCAGAAGGTTTAGTATGAGAACAGGCCACCCCACTCTCTCTCTCTCTCACTCTATCACGCTCACTCTCTCTCTCTCTCTCTCTCACTCTCTCACGCTCACTCTCTCTCTTTCTCACCTTCACCCAGTAAGATCAGACAGCAGTGTAAACTGTCAAACTCTCATGGCTCTGTAGATGCAGAGCCTCGACCACACAGAAGTGTGAAAGTGCTGCGAGTCGAAACAGGAGGGTGGGAAAGGACAGAGAGAGAGAGAGAGAGAGAGGAAGAGAAAGAGAAAGAGAGGAAGAGAGAGAGAGAGGAAGAGAGAGAAAGAGAGAGAGAGAGAGAGATCAGTGAGCAGGAGAGGCAGCTATGGAGAGGATGAGACTTCTGGTGCTGCTGTTCTACGGTGAGAACCCTGTCTGTTTACCAGTGTAAAACTCTGCTGCCTGTTTTGTTGAAAGCGAAATGTCGGTACCTGTTTTCTGTTCTGTCGTTTTAGCGTTTGTTCCGTTAACGTCTGTTTTTGACTGTTTTCAGTGAGTGTAGTCGTCTAAAACACCACTTCCTGTTTGATCTAACCGCTGATACGATAGAGAACACTACCTGTTTTCTACCCAAACTCGCTCTTCTGTTTAACCTACAGCAGCATGTTCCACTCGGTTACTGCTTCACTCAGCGGCTCTGTATTTCTGTACGATGTGACGGACTGTAGAACGGTTCTAGACACGGAGCTGAATTAGCTTCGGTTAGGTCACCAGCTTTGACCTTGTGTGTGTTCCTCTCTGTTTAGAACGATCTAGAACCACTAGGACTGTCTAGTTGGTCAATTTTAATTGGTTAGATCTGAAGGGTTACAGACTATACCTTGGGGGTTTAGGGATTATGCCGGGTGGTTAGGGATTATGAAGTTGACCTGAGGGGTTGGGGATTAGGATTAGGCCTTAAAATTTAGGCATTCTGAATTTGTTGTGAGGGGTTAGGGGTTAGGATTAGGTTTTAGGGTTTAGGGATAACGAATTTGACCTGATGGGTTAGGGGTTAGGATTAGGCCTTAGAATTTAAGGATTATGAATTTGACCAGAGAGGTTAGGGGTTAGGATTAAGCTTTGGGGGTTAGGGATTAGCTTCCAGTGATTAAACTTTAGAGATTAGGAGTTAGACGTTCAGGATTCAGATCTAGTTTAGAGACTGTTAGGTGAGGGATTAGGCCTTCCGGATTCAGATCTAGTTTAGAGACTGTTAGGTGAGGGATTAGGCCTTCCGGATTCAGATCTAGTTTAGAGACTGTTAGGTGAGGGATTAGGCCTTCCGGATTCAGATCTAGTTAAGGGATTGTTAGGTGAGGGATTCTGGAAATATATAGGGGTCAGCGTCAGGGGTAAGGAGTTCAGGATTGTACAGGATTATGCAGTGAGCTGTGGGGTTAGGGATTATGAGTTTGACCAGAGAGGATAGGTGTTAGGGTTTAGGGGTTTGGCATTAGGGACTAGGCCCTAAAGATTAGGGATTCAGATTTAGGTTAGGGATTAGGTGTTAAGGATTCATACATAGGTTCTAAAATTCTAATTAGCAACCAGTGATTAAGCAGCCAAATCTAGCCTTCCCCTCTTTTTAAAACTATCTAGAACTTCTAGAATTATCTATGGATCCCACTTTGAGGGTGAGGGGTTAAACCTTGAGCGTTAAAAACTAGGCCTTCAGTGTTTGGGGAGCATGGATTTGACCTGCGGGGTGGAGGTTAGGAATTCAGATTTAACATTAGGTGTTAGGAATTAGGGATTACAGTTAACAGGGAGGGCCCAGTTTCAAGGACATGAACATACTTCTTTAGTCTAGAATTAAATAAATTAAATTAATAATTTTCTCAGGAGTCTGAATATACAGTTAAAGTTTGTAGAACCCAGCACTGTAATAATTTCCTAATAACATAAAAACAGCCAGGAATCAAATAATATTTTGAACTTAACTTGGTCAAAAATGTGATAAAAGTCAATAATGTAATAATTTACCCAATAATGTGATACAAAGTCTTAATTGATAATGTACTGATATTTTTATTGATAATGTAATTATTAAATTAATGAGAATTTATTGCATTTTCAGGTTGACCATATGCAATTACATTATTGAAAAGAACAGAAGGTTCCACTGTTGACCCTCAAAAGTGGTCAAATTTCACCGGTTTTCTTATTTTCTCATTTGTAATTATGATTTTCATATGACTGTATTATTCTGTCCAGACTGAGAAAGTTACAGTTTTAAAGAAGTGTGAAAAGTTGAGGATCTTTCTGAAAGTAGTTTAAACTCTTCTGAAACTCTGTCTCAGTGATGCTCCCCTTGCTTCTGGGGTGATTCCTGTGTCCAGCACAGAACACAGGTCCAATAATGTAATTACGTACTTCATTATCTGTAAAAGTATTAATGTATTATCAGTTCAGAGAGTGTCCTACATTATTGGGAAGTTATTATATTGTTGGGTTTATTACGTTTTTTACCAAGTTAAGTGAACGTTTGGGGTTATTAGGTAGGTAAATTAATCTATAGAGCACTTTTCACGCACTGCGGTCACTCAAAGTGCTTTACAGCTGAGAAAATACAGAGATACTTAAAATCAAAATTGAATAAGGAGAATATGTCAGAAAACGGAACATAAAACCTGATTAAAACGTGATATTTTGAAAGAGAAGAATCATTAAAGCTGAATTGATGATCATAGAGCGGCGTTAGAGGAGAGAAGAGCAGCAGAGCTAACAGAGTTTAAACTGATCTGAAAGCTGCTCTAACAGGAACGTTTTCAGGCTGATTTAAAGTGTCCAGTGTCGGCTCTTCTAACGCTCTCTGTCCACTGGGTCCATTTAAGAGCAGCACAGTATTTAAACGCTGCTTCTCCATGTTTAGTCTTCAGCTTCGGACTGACTGACCAGTTCCTAATAATCTGAGAGTTCTGCTCGGCTCATATCGCTGCAGCAGGTCAGATAAATACGCTACTCTTGCACCATTAAGACATTTATAGAGCTCCTTAAAGTCTATTCTGAACAGACTGGTAGTGTAAGGGTTTAAGAATGGAGGGGGTGTGGTTCCTTCTTTAACTCCTAGTGAGACTCTGGCAGCTGCATTCTGAAGCAGCTGAAGCTGTTTGATGGTCTTTTTTTGGGGGTCCAGTTAGGCGAACATTACAGTGATCAACCTTGCTGGATGAAGCAGCTGGTGATTAAGAAGCCTTCGTCAGCCTTGTGTAGGTTCTTCTCTGTTTAGAACTAGAGAGAATGTTAGGTACACACTTAAAAATTAGGGTTCTTTATTAAAGAAAATGGTTCTCTATAGAACCAAAAGGGTTGTTGTATTGTTTCAAGCTTGGCACCATAACCATAGCACCCATAGGGGGAAAAAACATATATATATACATATAGTTTCATATTTAAAATACATGTCAAACACTCGATGCTGAAATACACTCCAAACACTAAAATGTAGTTCAGAATATTTTGCCACATTAACCAAATAATATTTTAAAATAAATTTATTTTGAACTGTATGTGGAAATATTACACACAGACAAAATAACTGTATGTAAATGTGTTTATCAAATCTGTCTGAAAACGTATGAAAATATCCAGAATCCTGTCTGATGCTCTTCACTGTCTGATACCTTTAGAAATGAATTTGTGTTCCAGTATCTTCATTTTAAATCTGATCTAATGATCCTTTATCAGGACAGAAGCGAGTGTTGTGGGTATTGATACTCTGTGAAAATGCAGTTATGATCTGATATCTTGTTTATGTGAAATACATTGTGTGTGAGAGTCTGACTGCAGACGGACATGGTTAATGTAAAGTACAGTGCAGATCACAGAAGAACGTTTAGTTACATCTGGAACCTTCATTACACTCACTGAACACAGATAATAACTACATACTGATAAATGAGTTTTAAAAGATAAATAAGGTAAACACATTGGGAATATATACAGCACCAAAATGGGTTCTCATATTGAAAACAATATATATTCCAAATGTATTTATCAAATATATTTTTGCAATTCTCCATCAGTCTGAAGAACCATTTCACTGTGCAAAGAGCCCTTTAATCATGCAGAAGGCTCTTTGAGTATTCATGGTTCTATAGAACCATTTTCTTTCCTGAAGAACCCTTGAAGAACCATCATTTTAAAGTGTGAATAGTGGTGAATTGCACAAGGTCTAAAGCAGCTACGCCTTTGCGGCCGCACATATCTTACTGGGTGTGTATGTATGTATGTGGACACAAGCAGAAGTTCCAACCACACAGTTCTTCTACTGTGGTTTCCATCTGCAACTGTTCTGTCAGCTAAACAGCAGCTCATCTGCTCAGTAATCATTACCACCTTCTTCAGCCTCACGACCACAAAACTGAGCACTCCTCACAGTCGGTTTAATAAATTACAGACATCACAAAGAATTTTCATCAGTTTATAACAGATATTCTTACGTTTGTGTTCGGACTTCTCCAAAAATGCATTCAGTTATTGAATAATTACTGCTGAATTATTTATAGAAGTACCAGAATAATTAAAAATAACTACCAAATCTGAGGACCGAGAATTGAAATTTTAAGAATAGCTAAAAATACAGTCTCACAGCTTTGGGGGATTTTTGGAGGCTTCTATCTTCACACTGAAGTATATCAAATCTTTCTGACGCGAGTTACGGAAAATGGAAAAAACCATCATGCCTTCATTTCCAAACAACAGCAGTCATGCCTGACAGGCACTAAAATTAGATATAATCAAACCTTGTTATTATTAAAATAGTAAATGTAAAACAGTATTTAAACTGTATTTCATATCTGAGTGTTCAGTTAATCTGTTTGGTGACTGTAAATTAAAATAATTCAGTGATTTATTTTTCACATCTGACAAAGTTTATTTATATAAAACACTGTCTACCAAGAAGTGGAACCCGGCGAAGATCCTCACCCGCAGAAGAACCATGAGGATGCAAAACTGTTACTTGCACATCTCGTTCCTCTTCTGATGTTACATTTCCTCTTGTGATGTGAGAGGCACATATTCGTTATCTAATACAGTTTCATGATTAGATGATATGTTGTTATATTATAATTTTTTTAAATACAAACTGTATTTAACACTTTCATAAAAGCAGCAGGAATTAAAAAATGCACGTGTACAGCTGCCAACGAGGAGCTCGATTTGCATTTCCGACACTGGTGTAAAAGTGAAATACACTCTGTGACTGCAGGGGGACCCCAAGAGCAAAAATGACCAATTCTCACATCATGCTGCTGCTTTAATAGCTTAGAAATCCAAAACCTAAGATTAGTGCTTAATTAATGAAACCATACTGTGATGTAATAAATACCAAAGTTTGAGAGATCTTGTGTACTTCACTGTGGAGATATTGAAGCTC